TTTATATATAATAATCAATATTCCTTTTTTTCTGAAATTGAAATTAACCTATTTTCAAAAAGCAATTGTCGAGAAAAACGGAACGGTGATTGTCGAAGGGAGATTTCATTAACGAAAGGGACGATGTTTTGACAACCGACATTTCACTTGCTGGATTGAGCTTGCAATTTTCACTTTTTTTTTATCTCTTTTAAATCTCATAACTTTGATATATAACAAGAAGCCGACAGGTTAAGCTGTTAATAAGATGCATATTATCTACCTTTTCCTCATGGCTGTTGAGCTTCAATGGCGGGTTGTGAACACGTTCCACCATTTTTCTTGCTACTTCCTTAATGGCGATGATATTTGTTACAAGTTTGAATGACGAATCCGCAAAATATGTTCCCGGTTCTGCTATGATGGTAATTCCCATACATTCAGGAAAGTGCTCGTCGAGACTTTGGTTGATCGCTTTACAAAGCTTCAGATAACAGTATACATGCAGTAGTCAGAGTTATATGTACTAAAAAAGCCCGAAGAATTTTATACCTGATAAAACACGTGCTGCGAGTTTATTGAATGACTTAAAGGGCTACTTGGACGAAAATTGCGAAACATTAGAAAAGACTTGGAAATCAAATAGAACTATACATATGAGTCTAATAACCATGAAGCAACAGATTTTAAGAAGACATTGATACAACTCCTAAATAATTTGGGCAAAAAATTTCTCTGATGTGGGACAATTCCAAAACAAATATTTTCCCGAAATTGTTTTTAATAGATATATGTGAGTCATATATTTGTATTGCTTGAAGTTTTGAAATAGGGACATTTTCATGCAAGTAGCACTTTAAGATATTCATTAATAGTTCATAACCGTTTTGTATAATATCGATGAAACAATAATGATATATAAAATTGTAAAAGAAAAGAAAAATGAATCTAAGGTTGTTTGCCGTTGGGAATACTTGAGGCTAAAATTTGAAATTCAAAAATCCAGAACTTTGTTAGTATTCAATTCGCATGTGCAGTCGTTTGGTTCTTTGAGCTGATGACCAAAACAATGCTCCAAAGCGGGAATTCAGGAAAACTAGAGAAGAAGAAAAAATTACTTTGGAAGAGTCTATCCCAAAGACTACACGTTCGTCTACGAAGTGGTCTTTTAAAGTCTTTTCCGAGGGGCAGATATGTAGACGCAAGAAGCTGGATTGGAACGTAAGACATCTTTTTTGTTACGAGTAACTTGTGCTTCGCGTCTGTTTCAAAATAAAGGTAGAGGAGAAATTGATACGTGATAGGACAGGCCATCGATCTAATGCTTTGCTCAAATATGAAAAATCTAGTTTGCAGCAACAAATGATGAAGCGCTACAGCTACAACTAGCACTAAGGCTAAGGAGGGTAATCCCGATGAGACAGATGCAAGTGCCGAAAGAGGCTCAAATGATTTAATGAATCTCGAACCGTTTGACTTCCGAATCGAAGATGAGCTGTTATCTAACATCGTCTTGCCAGAAATTTCTAACGTACAAAAACTTGTTAAATCGGGATCTGTATTCAATAACTGCATAATAAGTAGGCAATCACAAGTCTAATAAATGTTTAGTTATTTAAAATATGGCTGTTGTATTTTACTTCCTCTATCTATGAACTTTGAAGCATTATACAGCATCACTTGTGGCATTATATATTAATATTAATATGTAATGCTACGTGTGTCTTTATATTCTTCGTTTGCAATATACGTCACATCCGCCATCTTGGTTGAGCTTCAACAAAGGATTTCTAATTAGTATCTATTGCTCATTCAACCAACATGGCCGCCGGTCTTTTATCTTTTGAATCTCATGAGGATGATTGAAAACGAGCAATAATGCTTCATGTTCATTTTCCTTCTCTTGTTTTTTTTCTATTCTACCCCAGTATTCCCCTGGGCCGCATTCAAATCCCTCCCCGAGCTTTAAATTTCAAACGCATTTTATGTCATATAAAGTGCTTTACTCGTGACCAGTGGGGAGCATCGGATTGGACAAAACGGTTATGAATTATTAATGATTTTTTTAAAAGTTATATATATTACAATTATTAAATGGCCGGCGCGCTACGCTCGTATTTCTAAGCTTGCTTCTCTCATGTCTTTCAACTCCCACCGTATTTATATCGGAGGACAGAGACACAAGCGACCGTTATATAAATGTTTCTGCGTTTTTCGGACGAAAAACAAATTTTATCCGGTAAACCGTGTCTCTGTCCTCTGATATAAACACGGTCGTCAGCCAATAAGAGTGCGCGTTATAAATTAAAAATTTTATAATTGAAGTGTAGATTTATACTTCTGATGAAAGTGTGGAAAGCTGATTATTTCGTGATTCACTCGTAATGCATTTGCTCTGCATTTTTGTATATATGGTATATATGGCATATATGGTATATATGCCAACCAAATATTTTCCCGTACGGCCCTCCCACTCAGTCAATAAGTACATATTATGTGTCTAGCTTTTGTGACCAAACCTTCATAATAGAGAGTGTAAGTTTTGTTTGAAAAGTTTGAATATAAGCGAAAATTTCCGTCATAAACTGTTTGTAGAATAAATCTCCACCTCCTCAGTCAAAGGGAATTATTTGCATCAGCCAATCGACGTGCTCGTAATCAGACCCTAAAAAATCGCAAGAGACTTGTTTTGGCATGCATATATAAATAAAAGTCTTGTACGTAGTGTGAACTGGAATGGCTGAAACATTGCAAAAAAGTCATTTCAGTATCTGCATGAAAATGATGCCATTTCTCCGTTCCTATTCTATCTGCATAATCTGAATTGGAAAATAAAGTTCTGAGATAGAAAGTAGTTAGAGTATGAAATAATTAAGACATAATAATATCTTTTTACCATAAAATGGACGAACTCTTGGAAGATTTTCACACCACTATGGACAACAAAAACATATGTGTAGCTAATTCACTAATCAAAGGGAAAATGTAGCTCCAAAAGGTATACTGAACCCAACCGAGATATATTAAATAAACAAGGCAATTGGCTTTTGCAACTGCTACAGACCGGATAAATGATTTAGCAATGTTTAGCAAATATACTTAAGCCCTCTGTTCGTGACTAAAAAAAAGCTGAGAAGTCTGCAAGAACTATTATTATTATTTTTTTTTTTGTAGACATAAGCCTGTTAGTGATATGCAAAGATCAGTCAGTTTAGGTATTTTTGCGGGTATAAGAATAATTGACTAAATCAAAACCGAACAACAGTGTTTCGATTTATTGAGAAAGAAAATCGTTATGCAAATATATATTGATTTCGTATTTTTGTTTTTAAGATAAACATCTTAGTATAATATTAAATATTTTAAACACCCTCTTCATTTCCATTGAAATAACCTTCAGTTCGGTAATCTTTTGGGAACTCATCGTTAACTCTAATTTACTTGCAAGCAGTCGAAAACCATAATGAACGCATATAGTAAACTCACTTTTATCTGATTGCTAATTCTTTTCTCTAACGTTGAAAATAACAGGCGAACATTTAAAAACGACTTGGCAAAAGTATATAAAAAACGGCGCTTCTACCTGTTTGAACAGTGTGATGGGTCTTTCCATATCCATCATATAAAATCCATCGTCTTGTTGCTGAAACAAAATATTGTAATTCATTATATATTTTAACATAGATACTATATAACAACCGCTCTGATTGGCTAGTTTTCTATGAAAAAAAATATGGATGGATCATGAAGATGGTTCATACTCACGTCATTACTGCAGGAAAACAAAAATTATACGAAAAACCTGGAACTTTTCCTATTTTTCTTGAGAATAGCGATTAAACTTCGTTTCTAAATAATGGCTAGTAATAGCCCAAACTTTGAGTTTGACTTTTTAAACTTTGAAGCTAATTCCAGCAAGGCAAGACCGAGTGATTGTTACCGGGACCATTTATAGGTAAGTTTTTCATATTTTAAACAGGTATTTTTTTACTTAAAATTGATAAACCACCGATAAACAATGAGCAAAAAAAAAAAAAGCATTTTGTGACTAAGTTTAATATCATTTTTTACCGCGTTTTACCGGAGCTTGAAAACACGAAGATTGGTCAACTTGATGCAAATCTCAGAAGATTTTATGCAGAGGCAAGGAAAAAGGATGGCGAAACGTACGGCAAGAAGAGCCTCCTGGGTTTCCGTGACGGCATCGAAAGATACCTAAATCAGGCAAAGTTCTCAAGAAATCTTAAGGGTGTACTGACGTATCCGTTTCTAGACGACCTGGTTGCTATGCTAGCCGGAGAAGCGGGCTAATCGGAGAAGCGGGCGCGCGCGCGTTATCATGGCGGGAAAATGTTTACTTCCGGTGGAAATGTATGGTATCATTTAAAAAAATATAATCTTCGGTGCGAAACATTAAATGGACGTGTTTTTTTTTTCAATATTTATGTTCTGCACAGCCTCCTCTTCATAACCAAGCATGGGTTTGGCGAAAAATTAAAAAATACGAAAGTTATTGGCATTTTTCGCTTATCTGTGGCATTTAAAAAATCGTAAAAAGCTTATTTGGCAGTCATTCTAAAAACGCATGCTTGGATTTACGGACTTAAATCTAAAGATTAATTTCATCCATTTTAAATCGTTTAATATACTTTGCTTGATGAAATTATAGCATTTTTTCGTATTAATGACGTCATAGAATGTGTTATTTTTGTTTGGGAAGGCTTTTAAGTATTAAAATACTTAATACGAAAGCGATTTTACTTTTGTTTGTCATTTTAGAGAACTACTGAATTTTCCTAGCAACGGATACAAAGTTCTCTTGCAAATTCCAAATTTTCCAATTAGGCGCACGAAACCATAAGAAAGCGAGAATCTGTCGATTGTTGTAATAATCAACAAAGATGCCCGACACCATCTTTGGCGAAAGCGATAATTTTGAAGAAGAAAACTTACGCGTGCAACTTGAACATTTTTTTGTGCGAGCTAAGCACAGGTAGCCCAAGCTCTACAATAGGCGGCTTTTAGCTGAATTTGATGAAAATGTAAAAAAAANGACTGTATCGCCCATGAGCGCTATTGCTCTTATAGTCATTATGATAACCACTGCGTCTTGATGAAGCATGCCCATGAGTGCGAGACATGGTTTTCTTTGCAATCTTGTTGACCTCACTTATCTCTTTAATATGCTTTGGCAGCTCATCGCCAAACAAATATGTTGACATGGGGTTACTTTTGCTGCATACCGACTGGTACGCCTGAGCAATGTCAGGTTTTAAGAATTCTCGCCTTTTAAGGGAAGTCAAATAAGATGCGTGGCCCAACAATGTTACTGCATCCGCTACGAGTGGAATAACAGTCGCCATTTCAATGGGCTTTTTCTCGCTCTGGTTTTTCAAAACCGAGTCCAACAGTTGAACCATGGGCTGTGCAGCTTTAACCAAGTTCTTTTGGATTTCCTGCAGCCCTAGGTCTTTTGTTTTGGTGTTTCGAGGCAAATCATGCCATAGTTCAAGGTTAACCTTGGGAACACACAGCAAACGGCAGTTTTGTGGCGTCTTGTACTTGTCTTGAATTTCCTTGAATTTAGTTTCAAGTGGTTTCTTTGAAACAGAGTCGTTTATCCTCTTTGCAACGACCTCGGACACTTCTGGACCAAAGGTCTCTGTCTCCTCAAAAATTGAGGGCAAAAATTCGCTTGATTCAAGCGTTTTAGCATTTGGTTCTGTAGACGGCACGTTTACGCCCGACAAATCCTCAGTTGGGTCGAACATTGACGCTGGAGGCGAATTAACAGAATTAACTCCCGGTTCGGGATTTCTGTTCGAAGCTACAGCTTCTAGGTTAGCAATCTTTTCGTTCATCGCTCTAAGCGTGTGCTCAATGCCTCCTAGGCCCAGTTGATCCCTTAATTCATCGATATTTTCCTCGTAGGTTTCTTCGAAACGCTCCGCTTCAATTGGAAGCCCGCTAACCTCCGTGGAAGGTTCGGTATCTGACATGGCCACGTGGAGCTTTCACTTCAACAGCGACGAAAAAACCGTATAAACTTATCGTACTGACTACTTGTGACCTGTAGAATAAGATATTAAATATATCCATTAATAGTAAACGGCCAAAATAAAGCAATCTCCAAACAATTCGAAGAAAAATTAAAAGACACGCTGACCTGAAGCACGAAAGGAAGAACTGACTTTGATGTTCTCACCTGGGAATATATACTGTACTGTAATTTGCATTTGAATGGCTTTGAAGTTGTGGACCGCTGACCAGTTAGTAGTTTGGAAGTATGCATAATTATCCCATAATGTGGAACATATCGAAAAAGAATTAAGAGCCGAAAATGAACAACTTAAGTCTCAGGTGGGTGAACTAGCAAAACAACTGGAAGAATTGAAGCAGAAGTTTACAACAATTTCTGGGCCATCCACCATTGAAGACCAAGTGAACAGTAATAGCTTGCAGTTTATGTCAGACAAGTACGACGAGCTCAAGGCTTTTAAAGAAAACGCAGCAAAGGAATTAACAAGCGTTTCTCAAAGTTTATTCAGCATTGAGCAGAAATTGATGGAGTTTGATGAAGCTATAGAGTCGATGTTGAAATATAGCTATAAATACAACGTGAAGCTCATTGGCATTGTCCAAGAGAATCGTGTAGAATCTTCCGAGGAATCAGCAGAGATTTGCTTGAAGCTCTTTAAAGCTTTAGGAGCTAAAGTCGAAGAGAGAGACATCGACATAGCACATAGAGTTAAAGCTAGAAACACCAAGTTCCCTCCTCCGATCGTGTGCAAATTTTCGCGTCGTCTAGCTAGAGAATCCGTAATGGCGAACAAGAAAAATCTTGGCTCGCTCGACTTGGAGTCTATCAACATCTCATCAACTGGGAAAATATTGATTCTCGACCACTTGACCCCACGGGCACAAGAGTTATACCATAAAGCCAAAGTTTTTAAGAAAGAAAACGACTATGCCTTCTGTTGGACAAAGAACGGCGACGTACTTCTGAAGCAGTTTGAAGACTCCAAAATAATTAAGGTTACAGACTCAAGCTAAGACTTCCTAAGCTTACGAGGGATTTGCCGTCCAGTTCCTTGCCTTCATCGCTGTCCTTCCAACAACAACAACAACAACATCAATATGTACCACCAAGAACAAGATCAAGCCAGAGATAAGTGTATCTTTAAATTCGAAAAAGACAGATACATACAATATATATATATGTTTATATTTTCTTCTCTATGACCTATATATATCTTTCATATCGTATAGATAACTTTCTAGGGCAGCTAAGCGAGTTATATTACGATTTATAAAACTGAAATAAGGTCTAATAATTTTCGTCGTTTCAACAACAACATTAACAATATGCAAAACACTTTTAACTTTCAAATTCTTTCACTTAATGTGAGAGGCCTAGGGGAATATAAGAAAACTATAAAATTACTTAATTGGTTTTCAAATCATGAGGGAGATAGGGGCGTGACGTTTATTCAAGAAACACATAGCACGCAAGCTTCTATGAACAAATGGTCCCATAGAACTAAGGCTTCAATAATTATGTCACACGGYTCATCGCGGAGTAGAGGTGCTGCAATACTAATCGGGAGCAAACTCAAGCATAAAATAAAGGAAAAACTAACAGATCCAAACGGCAGATATGTTATAGCTCTGACAGAAATCGAGGAAAATAACTTTCTTTTGATTAATACATATTTACCCAACACTGAAAAAGAACAGGTTCATCTTTTAGAAGAACTCATCGAAAAAATACAATCCATAGTTGTCCCAGCGGATACATATATAATTTGGGGAGGTGATCTAAATGTAGTGTTTGACCTTGAACTAGATTCCTCTGGAGGTAATCCAGAAAAGAAAACTAAATCAATTGAAGCAATTGAAACCATAATGTCTGAGTATGATTTATGCGATATATGGCGAATTAGAAATCCAGGAACTAGACGTTTTACCTGGAGAGGGAAAGCCCAAGGAAAAAGAAGTTCCAGCGAAACAATTTATCGTAGGCTTGATTACTTTCTTGTTTCCGATGTTTTACAACCGTTTGTAGAGAGG